GGGAGTGACCCCTAAAAAGGGAACTGACCCTGGCTGGTTTGGCTCAGTGGCTAGCAGTGGTTCTCAACCTTCCTAATGCCGCCACCCTTTAATACAGTTCCTCATGTTGTGGTGACCCCCAATTTCATTGTTACAAATTGAATATAATTAATGCATAGTGATTAATCACAAAAACAATATGTAATTATCTATGTGTTTTCCGATGGTCTTAGGCGACCCCTGTGAAAGGGTCGTTCGACCCCCAAAGGGGTCGCGACCCACAGGTTGAGAACCGCTGGGCTAGAGGTTCACCCTGTGGATTGAAGAGTCCCAGATTCGATTCTGGTCAAGGGCACATGCCTGGGTTGCAGGCCCAGTCCCAGACCTGTAGGAGGTAGCCGATCAATGATCTCTCTCATCATTGATATTTCTATCTTCTCTCTCTCCTGATTCTCTATCATCATTGATGTTTCTCTCTCTCCCCTCTCCCTTCCTCTCTGAAATCAGAAAGAGAGAGAGAGAGAGAGAGAGAGAGAGAGAGAGAGAGAGAGAGAAAGAAAGAAAGAAAGAAAGAAAGAAAGAAAGAAAGAAAGAAGAAAGAAAGAAAGAAAGAAAGAAAGGAAGGAAGAAAGAAAGAGGGAGGGAACTGGCCTGACCTGAACTCCCAGACATTTCAACAAGCTCCAAGCTTGGGCTTTGGCCTCTCCAGAAGCTGCTAACACCAGGACAAAAGGCAACTGTACCCTCAGACCTGGCCCCGGAGGCCTCGCCAGCTGCCAAGTGGATGTTCCCTGATGTCGGGTGTGCCCACAGCTGTGGGCAAGGTGTTCCCTTGGGCTTCAGGGTGCCCCTCCTGCAGGGCCGACCCTGTCCCTGTCTGTCTCTAGTGGCAAATGTCTCCCCCTAGGAGCACAGATGAGGGGGCCCCACCATGCACCCCCAGATCCCACAGCACTTTTGGCCTCAGGAGTTCTCAGGATGGAGGAAGGGGTGGCTTGGGGAGCCAGGCCTGGAGGGCTGATGTGTGCGGGCCCGCCTCTGGCCGCCGCCCACACGAAGTCTGGGGGCATGCAGCCCAGCAGCGTGGCTCAGTGGGTGAGCATCGACCTATGAACCACGAGGTCATAGTTCGATTCCCAGTCAGGGCACAGGCCCGGGTTTCCGGCTCCATCCCCAGAGCGAGGTGTGCAGGAGGCAGCCAATCAATGATTCTCCCCCATCGCTGATGTTTCTATCTCTCTCTCCCTCTCCCTTCCTCTCTGAAATCAGTAAAAATATGTTTAAAGAAAAAGCTAAAGTTCCAGTCCTTATAGCTCCCGCCCACATAACATCTAATTTCGAGGTTCACTGGAGTGACCCCAGGAGCAGAGCCCTCCAGACTCACCCCTCCTATTCCCTGCGGCTTCCCTTCCGATGGACAACGTCCAGGCGAAGGGCAGGCTCGGAGCCCCGGCTGCACTCGCCCCACTGCCCTCAGGGTCTGGGCAGCGATGCTGAGCATGAGAAAACCAGACCCAGTTCCCAGCCGCGGCCCTGAGGCCCCGCCCACAGGCCGGCTGGTCAGCCCCGCCCACCGCTGGCAGGTTTGCTCCGGCCTCTGGCGCCACCTGCTGGGAGCCGACGGCACTTTGCTCCGCTTGGGCCCAGAGCTGCTGGCTATCGGATCTCCCCGGGGCTCCCTGGGCCGAGAGCTGCCGGGATCAGCGCCATGAACCAACCCGAGGGCACACCGCCCAGGCCACACGGAGGCTGCCCCAGGGACACAGACAGACCAACCTGGCTTCACCCCAGCTCAGCCTCCAGGGGCGCCCTCACCGAGGCTGGGGGAGTGGGGCTACCGAGAACCCTGGCGGCCAGGTCTCCTGCTGCTCTTGCCCCAGCCGCCCTCAGGCAGGCCCCTCCTGCAGGAGCAACGCCCCCGTCCCCAGAAGAGGGGAACCCCCACTCTGAATATCTTGGCCTATCTTCTCGGGGTCTTCTAGGGCCCCCATAAAGAAATGGTACCCAGCACCCCTCAGTGGGGGCTCCAATACTTCTTCGCCCTCCACAATATGAACAAAATGTTACAATCAGGAAAAAAAAATCTGAAATGTTTAGTTCAATCCCTGGTCAGGGCATATTCAGGAATCAACCAATGAATGCATAGGTAGGTGCGACAAAAAATCCGTTTACCTCTCCCTCTCTCACATCAATAAAAGAGAGAAAAAATAGTCCTAACTGTGAGCAAACTACGGCCCGCGGCCCGTTTGAAATGAATAAAACTAAAAAAAAAAAAAAGAGACCGTACCCTTTTATGTAATGATGTTTACTTTGAATTTATATTAGTTCACACAAACATTCCATCCATGCTTTTGTTCCAGCCCTCCGGTCCAGTTTAAGAACCCATTGTGGCCCTTGAGTCAAAAAGTTTGCCCACCCCTGTAACCGGTTTGGCTCAGTGGATAGAGCGTCGGCCTGCAGACTGAAAGGTCCCAGGTTCGATTCTGGTCAAGGGCATGTACCTTGGTTGCAGGCACATCCCCAGTGGGGGGTGTGCAGGAGGCAGCTGATCGATGTTCCTCTCTCATCGATGTTTCCAACTCTCTATCCCTCTCCCTTCCTCTCTGTGAAAAATCAATAAAATATATTTTAATAAAATAAAAAATCTGAAGTGCTTAGAATTTAATCTGGGGGCTGGACCATTGCCTTCTCTGGGCCTCAGTCATACTGTCCCAAGATGGTGATCAAGAAGGTAAGCAGCCGGCCGGCATGGCTCAGTGGTTGTGCGTGGATCTATGAGCCAGGTCAAGGCACATGCCCGAGTTGCAGGCTTGGTCCCCAGTAGGGGGCGTGCAGGAGGCAGCCCATCAATGATTCTCTCTCATCACTGATGTGTCCATCTCTCTCTCCCTTCCTCTCTGAAATCAATAAAAAAATATATTTTTAAAAGAAAAGAAAAAATAAGAAGATAAGCAAAACACATCCATCCATCAGGTCAGCAAAGCAGGAAGATCGTACGTCATGGGGGCGGGGTCTGTTTAAGGGATGGGCAGCGGAGGGAGCTCACCCTGGGAAGGCGGGCTCGAGAAGCCTCCCATGCGCCAGGGAAGCTGGGGGAGGGCCTCTCCTCGGGACTTTCCCAGCCTGTGGGGAGCAGGCGGAGGCCGGCCGGTGGCTGCAATAGAGCCTCGAGTCCCCACCACATTGATGGGATTCCAGAGGGAGAGCTAGCCTGGCAGGAGCTGTAGGCACCCCAGTGTCCCCCAGCCAACAGCTCTGGCTCAGGGGAGAATGCCAACTCCTTTATCCTCACTTGGACTCTCTGCCCTTTTTACAAGCAGGGCGTTAGGCGCAACTCGTTGTCCCAATCCCACCACCCCTCCTGGTCCCGGGCACCGTTTCCTCCTCACAGACGGGGTAAGCCAGGCCAGAGGGATCCCGGGAACTTGCCCGGGGTCAGAGGCACATAGGAAGCAGATTCCTGCGGGTGACAACCCCTATTTCTCCCCCATGATGTCCCTTCCTGCCCCTTCCCTCCATCACCCTCTCTCCAGCTCCAAAGACCTGAGCAGCCCCGGCTGGTTTAGCTCCGTGAATAGAGCGTTGGCCTACGGACTGGAGGGTCCCGGGGTTCGATTCCATTCAAGGGCACATGCTCGGGTTGTGGGCTCCATCCCAGGTTGGGGGGGGGGGGGCGTGCAGGAGGCAGCCAATCAATGATTTTCTCTCATCACTGATGTTTCTATCTCCCTCTCCCTCTCCCTTCCTCTCTGAAATCAGTAAAAATTTTAAAAAAGACCTGAGCAGACAGTCCCCACGCCCACCAAGGAGAGGCCACAGACCTGGCAGGAGTGTTGGGGGCGGGGGCTGCCCAGCCAAACATCAGATATTCCCTGTGGCTTCTCTCCCTGCCTTGCTGACCTTCCTGTTCTCTGCTGAAACCAGGGGATCCCTCTCCTGGAGCTCAGGGTCATGATTCCACTCAATCCAGTGGCTTCCGGTTAGACATTAGTAAGAACTTCCTGAGCCAACAGAGCAAGGGCAGCCTCATTTCCTGGGCCCCTGCTACCCGGCCCAGGGGTCTGTGTCCCTGAACCCCTACTGGCCACAGCCTCTCCTGGCACTTCTTCCAGAATTCGTTTCTTGACCCTCAACAACCCCCACTCTGGCACTCAGCTCTGGCTGCACTCTGGGGCCATATCTGGGTCTTGAAGGTTATGAGCAGACCAGCGGCCTGGGCTGTGGGTGGAGACGGCGAGGGGGGTGGGAGGGGAAGCCCAGATGAGATACCAGCTGTCCTGTGACCAATGGCCTTGGAAGACACAGCTGTCGCACCCCCTGCCTCCCACCCCCGGGCAGTGTCCCAGGGCTACTCAGCCCCTTCCCGGCAGGTAGTCACATTAAGCCTCCCAGCTGGCCTGTCCGTCCCAGGCAGGGCACTCGGGGGCAGGCCCAGAGCCTCCAGGCCCAGAGCCTCCAGCTGCCAGAAACAGGTCTCCCCTTTCTCCCCACTCCCAGGCCAAGGCCACACCTGCCTCCAGACTGTCTGGGAGAGTGGCCAGCCCCAGGCCACAAGGCAGGAGGCAGGAGCTGGGGCGGAGCTGCAGCCAGAGGAATCCCTAAGTGCCCGTCCTTGCAGGGGCCCAGGCTGAGGGGCTCCTGCCCTGGACCTGCAGGGGCTGACCCGCTTAGGCAGAGCCTATGGCAGGGCCTTTCCCACTCCCTGCCCTCCACCCCCGCCCCTCCCCCTGGTTTCACTGAGTTGTCTGCCTCTCCCCTCCCCACCGCCCCCCACGAGGAAACAGACTTGTCTCAGCAGGCTCAGACACAAGTGCTAAGGAGGGCTCACCTGTGGGCAGAACTTCTGGGGAGCACACCCACCCACTCTGAGGGGTGCAGAGCTGGTAAGGCCGGGGAGGCCCAAAGGTGAGCAGCTCAAAAGCCACCTTGGACTGGGCCTGCCTGGCCCCCATCTCCCCACCCTACCCCCTCATGTCCCAGAACGTGTCGAAGTACGGGAAAGAGACGCTTGGAGGCAATGGCATTGTAATAAAGACACTGCTTTTATTTAGTTTGATATGTCTCTATACAGAATGCAGAAAACACATCTTAAACCCATACAGAAGGAAATAAAACACGCCAGTGGTTGGTGAACACTTGAATGTGAGATTGGCTGTCTCACAGAGTCCGACGCAGCGGCCATCAGCAGCCTGCACAGGGGGAGGGGGAACTGCCTGCAAAGGCATTGTTGCTCTTGTTATTCTGTTCACTGCCCCAGCGGCCTCCAGTTGCTATGGCAACAGGCCATTCTGGGCCAGCCACATCTCTGTATGGCCGTGCCCCCACGTGGGGTTGCTAGGGGCAACTGAGCTGTTTGGAAAGCCTTTCAGAGCCCTCACCTGGAACACCAGAATTGTTTACTTTCTGATGAGGTCATCAAAAATAGTCTCTCAGGTCAGACCCCACTTGTGCTCCTGCCTCTGGGGCATAGGGGAAACTCCGGCTTGGATCAGGGCTTGGAGGCACAAGGCCCGGGCACCAGAGGTCCACTGAGCCTCCATCTGCAGGCGCCCCCACAGGGCACTGCCCACTCAAGCTCCCACTGGGGCCGGGCAGGGGAGAGAGGGGCTGGGCCCTGCGGAGAAGGCCCAGGGGAAAGACCCTCTGGAGGGCACGGTGGAGACCCCCCGACGGCCCTCCCTCCGGAGGCAGCACACATGATCCTCTGCAAAAAGGTCTATATGGCTTAGAAGTGGCTGCTCGGTGTGCAAAGGGAGCCTGGCTCCACCCACCGCCCTCCATCACATTATTGCAAAAGGCATTCCTTCCTTAAAGGTACCGCCAGTACCTCTCAGGCCTCAAGTCAGCTCAAATGGTTCCTCCCAAAGGAGGAGAATCCAAGCAGAGGGGGCGCCCCTGAGTCATGGGACAGAGATGCAGATGGACGGACGGACACTCTGCTAAAAAAGGCAAAAGGAGCCCCAGTGTAATTCCAGAATTTAAGCCGATAAGAAAGGAAGGGGAAAAAAAAAAAGAAGAAGAAGAAGAAGAAGAAAGAAGGAAGGGGTAAAAAATAAAACCAAATCAAAATGAGCAAAGCCGTCAGTTCCATGGAGTCGACACTAAGAGCTTGTACAAACTGCTGTAAGCATCACCATTTTAAATCTTTTTTTAATAAAACAATTTGAGGCTGTATAAAAACTTTAGTAAAAAATTAGCTTTGAGAGCCCACAGGTTTTCACTGTGAACTATTGCTGGCACTCCTCCCCAGCCGCCAGCCTTTCCCAGCCGTCAGGCCCCAGGCCTGGGACTGGAGCGCCAGAGGGGGGGGGGGGGGGCGGGGGGGGGGACTGTGGACTGTTGGGACAATGTGGCCAAGGTCAAGTGAGGAAAGAGCATCACATGACAAAAATATTGCATCTTCACCAAAATGTCCCCCATTGAGTGTTTCTAAAACTGTGATACTCCTTTTAGGGGAAAACACAGAAGGGAAAAGAAACCAGGCTGCTATGGTCGAGCCCCTCGACCCCCGACGCCCCATGAGCGGCTGGCCCGCCCTGCAGCACCTAGGTTGGGGCCGTGGCCCGCTGCCTCTTGGAGTCCCGTTTCTATGGAAATGAAGACCCCTGGGTGGTGAGCTGCGAGCGTGCATGGGGTGGGGTGATGTCCACGGCCCAGAGGCCCCTCCAGCTTCCAGCCCTTGGCTACAGCGGGAGAGCAAGCCCAGCACCAGGGCCCTGGCCCCTAAGCCAGGGCCGGGAGGCCCCCAGTCAGGCTCTGGGGGATCGGAGCAACCAGGTTGACGTAGTGTGAAAAAATAGGATTCCTTTGATAAAAAAGACTGTCCCTTGGTCTTCTAAGTTTGAAACACCCTGGGAGCTGATTTTTAGCAAAGCAATTTCCCACACCCACCCAAAAATTACACATACAAGTTTAGGTAAACAGCAGATTAAATGTAAAAACTTAACCTTAAGAAAGTCCTTTGAATGTAATCTTTAGCTACTGTTTTCCATGTTACATCCTGCAGCTAGACACACGTGAATAGAAAAAACAGTACAGTTAGTGTTAAAGGCAAAACGCAGAGGCCGAGGCCGCCCAGCACTGCCTGCGAGCTCATCGGCTCCTCACTCTCCAGCCACCTCCATCCCACGGTGCTTCGGAGCCAGCCAGCCACACGCAGCGAAGAACTCTCTATGAACAAACAAAAAGCTGTTAGGCAAAAAGAAAAGTAAAAATGTCCCCAAAGCCTCTCCAGCCGCTCTGGGGTCAGGAGGACAGAGAGGCGGGCGTGTCCAGCCCCGCGTCAGTGTGTGCTAGGTCAGGTGTCGGCGCCCAGTGGGCGGTGGTCAGCAGGCCACCGGTCTCCATGACAACACCGTGTTGTCTCCAGGGCCCTGCCCTACCCTGCCTCCACCCAGGCGCTTGTGGGCTAAGGGGGCACGTAGGGAGGGGGTGACCGGTATGGGGTCATGTTCTTGGGGCGGGAGCCCTTGCCCTCCATGGGAGCGGTGAAGGGCGGGGGCGGCTGGTAGGGAGGCGCGTTGGGGTCCTCCTCGCGCAGGGGCGTGTACTCTCCCACGGCGTCCTGGTTGAGAGGAGTGGTCTCGGGCGCGCTCTGGCTGGGGTACTCGGGCGGCGGGAGGGGGGCTTTCTCCTCCTGCAGGATGAGGGGCACGCTGGAGGAGGGCGGAGGCTTGGAGTCGTCCAGCTCGTCGGCGAAGATGATGGGCACGCCCTTCTTGATGAAGGTGGCCTGGTCCTCCAGCGTGAGCTTGCCCTTCCGCTTCTTGCGATAGCAGATCATGGCGATGATGCCGGCGATGAGCAGGATGGCGGCGACCACCACGGCCGGGATGACCGTGTGCAGGTACACGTCATCCTCGCTGCTCTTCTCGGGGTCCCTGTCGGGCACCGCGGTGGTCGGCGCCTCAGAGGGCACCCGCCTGGGCGGCGCCACAGGGATAAACTGCAGGTGTCGGCAGCTCCCGGAGCCCGTCACAGCCACACTCAAGGCCTTGAAGTCGGGCTCCAGGGCGTTGGAGAAGGCGGCCCGGGGTTTCCCGTCATCCTCGGCGATCCTCCGGCTCAGCCCCATGACCTGCTCCTTGGGGCAGGGCTCCAGGGGCAGCGTGTTGTTGGTCCACTCCACCACGATGGAGCCCTGGGTGATGTTCTGCAGGGTGACGGTGCTGCAGTTGCGGTCCCCGAAGGCGAAGGCCAGCTTCCTCACCAGCGCGATCTTCTTGTGGATGTCGTTCACCACTGGCGCCGGGTCGCCCGCCAACGTGGCCTTGAAGCGCGCGGGCGCCTTGTCCCCCTGCGGGCGCCTGTGGACGTGGATCTCGAAGGCGTCAGCGGCCGACAGGCCGCCCTTGTCGGTGGCGTGCAGGAAGTACTCGTGCTTGCCCACGTGGCTGCTGTCGGGCAGGCCGTACATGAGCTGGCTGTTGCTGTTGAACTGCACCCATGACTTCTCGCCCACCAGCTGCTGCTCCCGGAGCTTGAGGGTCAGCTTCAGCTTGTCTGTGGTGGTGTCCTCCTTGTCGTAGAAGGTGTCTGGCGGGATCTTCATCTCAAAGTAGGTGCCGACCCAGGCGTCCACCTTGTCGATGTGGTTCTTGAGCTCCGGGCGCTGGTTGGGCTCCCCTCCGCGGGGCACCCCGCTGGTGGTGGTGCGGATGCGTGTAGGCGGGGAAGCCGTTTCCAGTCTGGTGATGGGCGCTTTGGTGGTGACCCGGGGCACCGGTCGGGGGGTGCGTGGCTTCTTGGTCGGCCTTCGAGTCGTGGTGGTTGAGGAGTCAGTAGAAGGCGTGGCTGGTTTTGGCGTGGATACTCGTGGCTTCTTGGTGGTAGCCGTGGGAGGGGTAGCAACCGCCGTGGGCTCCACGTAGCCAGGAATGGTCATCGTGGGGCGGATCTGACCAGGAACCGTGGTGCCAGCTTCTGACACCCGAGTGGGCTGGATGGGGCCCAGGGTTGGGGTCTGAATAATGGCCCCGCGGGTGCGAATGGTGACTGTGGGCTTCCCAGGAACAGGGTCCCTGACCGGAGGAGCCATGGTCTCTGTGGGAGGAGCAATGGCTGGAGACGTGGGGGTGGGCACGATCCTGGATGGCGGCTCCTGGACAGCTGTGGTGGGGGGGCCGATGGCAGTGACAGGCGTGGGTGTCGCATGGATCTGCCGCCGGATGCGTTTGGGGAGAGGGGGCTTCTTGTTGGCGATGTGCCAACCCACGACGGGGTAGCCGAGCTGGGCGGACATGGCCCCTTCCCGGGCAGGCGCCTCCACGCCGCGAATGTCAGGCACACTGTTCTGGTTCAGGGAGCAGCCCAGCCTCCAGGACAGCAGGGCCCCGTTCTCCACCACCTTCTTGGCGTTGCCTGGGCCGGCCATGAAGGCAGACATGTCGAACAGCCGGTTGTTCACCACGGGCACCAGCTTCATGCTGTGCGGCTCCACCCCCGAGAAGCTCCGCATGCTGCGCAGCAGGGCGACCCTTTGCTGTGGGCTCATCTTGGTGAGGTCGGCGTCCAGAATGACCGTCAGCACGGTCACGGGCTCGTCCGCAGCACAGGCAGAGGGCGCCAGCTCCCCGGGCTCGGGCGCCGCCCGCACGGCCTGCAGCTCGCTGTGGTCCTCCGGGTAAACCTCGATGGAGAACACGCTGGAGGCCTGGGGGATGTGGCTCCCGTTGGCCCCCGGCCGTGCAGCACTCACCGCGATGTAATGCACCCCCTTATCGGTGTCGAGGGGGAGGCCCTCCAGGCTGCGGCTCTGCGGGTCCCAGTGCAGCCAGGGCGGCAAGGCCTCCTTCCCGGCAGCCGATACCTGGAAGAGACACGGGCATGAGGTGAGTGCTGCTGTCGCTGCCTCACCTGGAAACCGTCACCATTACCAACTGGCCTCCCTGAACTGTGCGACAGGGGTGAGGTGTCGCTCAGAGCTCCTGCTGGGGGAACCACTCCTCTGTCCGGCTCACTGGGCTGTCGGGAGAGACAGGGCTGCCGGGGGTGGGGGGTGGGGGGGGTAGCTTGAAAGGTCAAGGCCACACGGTGGCGAGACAGCGGGGCTGGCACTCGAACAGGTCTCATCCCAGAGAACGGAGGCACTGGGGCTCAAGAATGCTGTGGGGCCCCACCAAGGTGCTCGGTGGTTGAGCATCGACCTAGGAACCAGGAAGTCATGGTTTGATTCTGGTCAAGGGCACATGCCCGGGTTGCGGGCTCAATCCCCAGTGTAGGTGTGCAGGAGGCAACCAATCAATGTCTCTCTCATCATGGATGTTTCTCTCTCTCTCTCCCTCTCCCTTCCTCTCTGAAATCAATAAAAATATATTAAGTAAAACAGAACACTGTGGGGCTTATAGCAGCGACAGGCCAGCCACCTCCTTGCCCTCTGCAGACACCACCTTCCATCCTGGGAGGGGCACCGCCATCTGATATTCCGCTAGTCCCCGTCCTCTGCCAACTCACCATTCGCTGCAAACACAGCCAGCATCAGAACTGGTAAATATCTGTAGAAATTGCTATTTTCAGATCCATGAAAAACATTAAATATATTTTCCTTTACAAGCTTTTTTAGCTATAAAAAATATTTATTTCAAATGCTTTGGCTAAAAAACTTGTGCTTTCCTTTTTTACTTCTATTATGTTAAATATGTCAAGAGCCTCAATCACCTATAAACATATAAAGCAAAGTCTGAATGCTCATTTTGCAAAAAAACATGAAGCAAAGACGTAAGGCCCAATGGAGCAGCTGGGGAACCGTGAGCTGTTTCATAGGGCGGGCAGGACCTGGGGTCCTGAGAGGTGGCAGCAGGTGATCAGGGTGTGGACCTTGGCCTCTGCCCCCCAAGAATGTTTCCTAAGCCTCCGCCCCACAGCCACCACTAAGCGGAGAGCACACCTGGCAGAGGGGGGCTCGGGGGGAAGGGGGGCCTGGATGGCGCTCTGGGTGAAGTCAGGAAGGAAAAGCCACCTGTACAGAGACCAGGAGAGGCTCCAAAGGTGGGTGCCACCTGGCTGGCCAGGCCCAGGGGACATTCCTGAGTGGCCAGGCAGCTAGCTAGGCTGTGCCCGGCCCTGACTTCCTCCAGCAGCAGATGAGCAAGCGCCCAGTGCTTTCCCATGGCTGCCCCGCTGCACAGGGCCCCTTAGAACAGAGAAGGGCCACCCCTCCAGCATCCCATCTGCTGACCCAACAGCCACCGGTGCTGTGGGCTTTCCTAGGAATAAACTCAGGCCACTCTCTGGCCTGGGCTCCCACACAGCCAAGCAACACTCTTCCATGTCGATGGCGTGTCACACAGGAGCACACGTGAAAGAAAAGCCCAGTTTCACCGAAGCAAGTGAAAATGCTCAGAGTCTAACTGGAAGACCGAGAGCAGAACCGGCAGCTTTGTGTTGATTACTGAGACCAGTTCTTTCACTCGGGTCTGCCTCCCGCGCCACAGGCAGAGGACAAGCCCTGTCAGAAGAACGGAGCCAAGACTCCAACCTGCACCCCTGCCTGCCTTCGCCTCTGCAGATTCTGGCTCCTCGGGGGCCTAGAGCCCCGGCCAGGCCTGGCCACAGGACAGGCCCTCGACCTGGGTCTGCAGCCTGAGGCAGACGGCGCCCAGGGCCTTGGGGTCACTGAGACAGGAAGGAAAGGCCCTAAGTGAGCTCTAACCCCTGCACCGCAGAGCATCGTGGTTCTGGCAGGGCAGCCGGCAGCACTCTGCAGGACACTGACTTGCTTAATAGAAGGGCTTGGTCCTGCATTCATACCTCACAGCAGAGCTCAAAGCATCCAAGGGAATAAGGAGACCGCAGGAGCAACACACCTGATTCCACAGACACCAGCCAAGTCCAGGACGAGCGGCACCGCATTCCCAAGGCCGCGTGGGGAAAGCCCCTGAACGGAGGTCTGACCTGCCCGGGGGCTGGCAGCGTCCACGGCACCGAGAGTTCCGCCAGCGGCCCGTCCCCCAGGCGCTCCGTGGAGGCAACCCCTGCTCACTTGACAGAGCAGGAGCCTCAGTCCATGGAGTCGGACAGCCTCCCAGCTTTCAGAACGCGGGCCGCTTCCCTCTGGGGCCCAAGGGGGAAGCAGGATGTGAGAGTTCCTGTGAGAGACAGCCTCCGTGACAAGCCAGGACTCATCCTGTAACGACAGCCTCCCCGAGGGGAAGCCCCATCGGCAGGAGCCTGGGCTGAGGCCCAGGTCCAGGCAGGTTGAGGCCCGACCCACCCTCAGCCTGTTTTCTCATCTGTAAAGAGGGAGGCGATGCCATTCCGTCACAGCACCAGGCACGTGCTGAATGCTCGGCGCTGCTTCCCCACCCACCCCCACCCACCCGGACACAGTGAAGCTGCAGCGCGAACGGGTCAGGGCATGCCCAGGCCCCAGGCCCCACTCCCCAGCCCCCTTCCTAACTGGCCTTGGACCCGGAACCTGAGGCCTGGTCTCCCAAGTCATCCCCAAAGCAGAAGCTCAAGGCACCCAGGGAACAAGACTGCGGGAGGGGAAGCCGGGTCTTCTCGGGAACAGGCCGGCTGGGCCCTCGGACCCGCTTCCCTGTCCGCAGCCCCGGATGGGAACCCTGGGGGCCCGGGCAGGGGAGGATGTGCTGTGGGGCCCCAACTCCGGCACTCACTTCCTCCCCGTCTCCGGCAGGTGCGCTGGGGTGGCCTACCTGCACCCAGGCTCTTACTATCTCTGGAGCCACACTGTTCCCACCCGCAACTACCTCCTGAGGGCTGCTGGGCTGGGAGCGGCAGGGGAGAGGCCGAATCAGCTCACGGGATGCTCCGGCACCAGCACGTGAGGCTGGGGACAGGCTGGTCCCAGCCATGGACCCCCCAGGGCTTCCGGTCACTCAGCCCCCCCCCCCACCCCCGCCTGGAGTGGCGGAGACAGGCCTGCTGACCTTACAACGCAGCGCCTGGGAAGGAGCCTTCAGGCGGCAGTGGGAACACCGCACCTGCAGGAGGCAGAATCCGCAGGGCGAAGCCCACCTGAGAATATTCCAGGCCAGAAAGAGCCAGAAATCTCTGCCGTTTCAGCAGCCAGCCCTCAGCACGGACATGCTTCTGAGGCCGAAGGCAAGCCCGGCTCAGAGGAAAGTAAGACCTCAGACCGCACGTGCCCAGCGTCAGAAATCTTGATCCATGAAGTACATCCAAAAACCCTGAGAACCAAAACCACGGAGGCTGGGCAGGCCCAGGAGTAAAGGCTGCCCGCAATGAACCCCGAGCAAGGCCTGGGGGACTGGCCCGGGGAAGGTGTGGGGCTCCCCTCAGTGTGGACTAGCAGACTGGTAACAGACCCCTGCTCGTCCAGGACGGTCTCTCCCACAGTCCACCCTCAAACCGGCTGAGGATGCGGCGACTCCCGTGCTAACACCAGCAGCACGAGCGCCCCCCTCAGGGCCCTTCCCCGCCCGGAGAAGAGCAAACGGCGGAGGAGCTCCCCTTCCTTAGTCCTCGCACAGCAAAGGGCTCCATGCACAGGTGCCAGCCGGCCAGGCACAACGGGAAGACCAGCTGAAACCGGACTCGCCCTGGGGCCGAATTAATTCTATGACCTTTGGCTTCTGGAACCAAGAAAACCTGTTTTACCACCTAGACCAGGGGTGGGCAAACTTTTTGACTCGAGGGCCACAATGGGTTCTTAAACTGGACCGGAGGCCGGAACAAAAGCATGGATGGAATGTTTGTGTGAACGAATATAAATTCAAAGTAAACATCATTACATAAAAGGGTACGGTCTTTTTTTTCAATAGTTTTATTCATTTCAAACAGGCCGGATCCGGCCCGCGGGCCGTAGTTTGCCCACGGCTGACCTAGACCCCACACCTGGGTGTCTGACCCAGGCAGGAGTTGTAGGACTTGGACGTGGCCAGAGAAGACTCCAGAGAGATGGGTGGACACCGCCACACCATGTCACCGGCGAGCTGATGATGCCAGCAGAGGCAATGAAGTATCATCAACTGCGCTTGGTGAGCATTTTCTCACGCTGCAAACCTTTTGGAGGGTTCCTTCGGGCCTTAGTCGTGACCCTTCCAACTAACCCTCAAGACAGGACAGCCAGGGGTCAGCTGAGCCTTTCCCTGAACCCCCCACAGGTGTACTGGAGGGTCTTCTCAGTGGCCCACTTCAAAGTGGCCCCACCTGCGTCCTGTAACCCCCTGCCAGGGCCTCTAGCAGCCTGCCCTGGCAAGACCCGACCTCCCTGAGCCCGGCCCCTGCTCCTGGCCCCTCGCCACGCGGCAGAGCTGGGCCGGCTGCAGCTGTCTGCCCGGCCCCACAGTCACCGTCCTGGAGGCTCTCCGACACAGTGGGTCAGGGCCGACTGTGTGGTCTCCTCTGCTCAGGGAGGCGGGAGGCAAGCATCAGAGGCCCCCTGTGCTCACATCCAGGGGGATCCCGGTCTGTGTCATGGACCATGACAATGAGACTAATCTGCTCTGCGGCCAACATCAACCTCTGCAAACGACGCACATGGGCAGCCTCATGGCTGGGCCAGGCTGCGGGGAGGTCAACAGGAAGAGCCTCTGGCTTGAGGTCAAAGGTGAAGACATTCTCCCCACAGAAGGTGAAGAGCCATGGTGGGAGGGGTGCAAGTAATGCAGAGCCACACCCACGAAAGACCATCGATCCCTGCTAGACATGCAGACCTCACACCAGCACGGGGCTCTTGCCACAAAGGCCACGGCCACAGGACCACACTGTGAACATACCTGTCCAGCCCAGTCAGTGCCTTTCTGGTCTGATTATGAAGCGTTTACCTAATGGTACCTGCTCTCACCTAAAAACAAAAATTAACCTTATTCCCCAAGAGTGAGG